TTTTATTTAATGGCTGTTAATATATCTACTTAATTCATACTGATTATCTACATTTAAGGTACTAATCATGAGCCATGTAGGACACGTTGAAAATAATTGCCAGTAAAAGAAAACATAAGGTTGTCAGACATCAAAGCGGTTCGAAATTACATTTATTGTTCTTCCACACAAGCTTATTGTAGGAATAATTTCATTTTAGATTACAATTATTAGGAGAAGGCTCACACCTGATTACCGCATTGAAGCCGAACAAATGCCTCAAAGTTAATTAATTTAATGGTTCATAAAAGTAACATGCGCAAACAGATGAAGCTCATGTTTGTCAAGTGAAATAAGAAGAACCACAAACCAACATGGTATATATACTGACAAGCTAGATTCTATTTTGTGATGCATTTATTGAACACAAAGGCGATTGTATTCCAAATCAACAGTGGGTTTTTGCTTCCATTATGCCTTTAAGTATCGTGACAAAATTCTGAAACTCTGACAGGATTACTTTGTTTTCTAAAGAACTGGATTCCACTCAGACACGCAACTTCTGTGCAACACTTTCAGAAAGCCAGCGTTTGTGCTCCCATCCTTTGCTGTCACTTTTCTATAGAATCTAATTGCAGCACTGACCCGCTGTGCATTGCAATTATTTAAATAATTGGTGTTATTTTTCCTCACCGGAATGGAGATGTTCTGGATATTAAAGAGTTTGTCTTGTCATTCGACGTGGAGCCTTGACACCAAGTGACAACCATGTCTGCCCTGAGATATTTTGGGTTGCTGCTCAATACAGTACCAAGCTATCTGTCTGCATGGTACAGCCTAATTGCAATGGCTGTTTTTACCCCTTTTAAAGATCCACAAATTACAGGCTTTATGACCTATAGATGCACAACAACAACAATAATAAAAAGAAAACAAGTCTGGTTTAAGGTACGTTAATACAGTTGACATGGCTCATTCTCTTTCCAAGAAATTGTAAAAAAAACATAAAATAAATAAAAAACATCAGGTGGCACAATTCATACACATAGAAACACATACACATACAGTTGCATGTCAAACAATTTGACAATAATTAACTGGCAAATTGTTTAGGCTAGTTTTAAAAGTAAGACTCCCATTTATAGATTTATTACACACAATTACTTATTTCAAATGATTACTTCTGCTAATTTCGCTTCACATCTAATCTAACAGGGAGATGCATTGTGCCTTTGCAGATTTAGATTAGTGTGGAGTTATACGACCACATGAGAAGTTCTGGGACGGCAGAAGTACGCGAGAGTGGTGCAGGAGATGGATGAGTGCTGTGAGACGGCAGTGAGGTGTGCTGCAGGATAGGCAGGAGTTCAAGGTGGATGTGGGATTACATCAACGGTTTGGTGATGGGCAGGTGGACAGATGAGGTTAGACAGGAGTCTCTATGGAGATGCTTGCAGATGACACTGATCTGCAAGAAGACCAAAGCACGAGTGGAGGAAATGCAAGAGGCATGAACTGGAAAAGAGAGGAATGAAGATTAGTGGCAGCAAGACAAAATAAACATTTGTAAATGATGGGAAGAGAAGTGGAATAGTTATGTTACAGGGAGTAGAAGTAAAGAATGTATAGGACTTTAATTACTCCGGATCAATGCTGCAAGAAAGCAGAGTGTGGAACAGAGGTAAAGAGGTGTATGCTGGCAGGTTGAAACAGGTGGGGAAGTATCAGGCATAATGTGTGACTTAAAAAAAATATAAGCAAAATGAAAGGAAATGGAGATGGTTTAGGGATGGTGCCGATGACGAAGTAGAACTGGAATTTGCAGAGCTCAAGATGTTGAGGTTCTCTTTGAGAGAGACAAGGATGGACAGCATCAGGAATGAGTTCATCAGAGGACAAGCTCACGCTACATGTTTTGGAGACAAAGACAGAGAGGCCAGACTGAGGTGGTTTGTACATGTTCAGAGGAGAGACAACGATTATATCAGCAGAAGAATGCTGAGCTTGGAGCCAGCGGGAAGGAGCCTGACAGGAAGAGCAAAAGGAAGATTTAAGGATGTGATGAAGGAGGACATGGAGTTAGTTGGTGTGAAGGTAGAGGATCCAGAGGATGGAACAAAATGAAGACAGATGATCCTGTTTCCATTTCTTTCTCCTTTAGAAACACTAAAGGTCAAATAACACCATGCAGACGAGGGAAGTGAAACTAAACAATAATCTTCCAAATTAAATGTACAGTGCAAACAGGATTTTAGCTTCTGCTGTTAACCTGTTAGCTTGCAAGATTTTTTTGTTTTTGTTTTTGTTTTTCCTGAACTGAGTCAATCTAAAATCATTATTTTTTCATGTGCTGAAAAGCTTTTTACATGTTTTCACATTCATGTTCAATACGCGGAAATTCAATTTTAAGCCTGTGCCACTTAGGGAGAGATATTACTTTATTTTCCAATGGCAGGGTGTAAAATATACAAGCTTTGACACATTTTTTTTAAGGAAAAGGAAGCCTTTCCTATTTGCGAACACATGCAAAGTGCATTAATTTAGAATGCAGAAACTGCTAAAGAGCTCTGTGGTGAAACACAGAGCACCTAGCTTAACTGTTCAGCATTAATTCACTGCAAACATCCCAGGCATTTGATTTTGGGCATGACTAGCAAAAGTGCTTTTTAGAGACCACCTGTAGATCAGGCTGCAGGAATGCTCAGACCCTTAGAGCAACAGATTAGACCACCCTAAAACCAGTCCGCCTGCTTCATTTACCATCTGCATTTGATTTAATCTTGAATGAAACAGCTCCAAAGTGGAGCTCAGCTTGATACTCATGTAGAGAGGAGAAATTTCCTTGGCAATTAGCCCTCTTCAACATCACTTCTGTAAATAAGCATTCCCAACAAAGGCAAGGCTCTGCACCTTGAAGTCAGCGAGAGATGAGAGAGAGGATAATCCGCATCTGCATCTCAGCAAATACCCATCCTGCTGATTAGCGCTCCATTCCCAAGCATCGGTGGGGGGAGGTTCACCCGTCCACAGTTATAGAAATAGATCAATAGTAATGACCAGAGGGCTGCGCAGCGAGCACTGCCCTTCAATATCGGCGCGTTAAACTGACCCAGCCACCAACTGGAACCTTTTATGTTTGAAAAGTATGAAAGCATCGGATCATTACGCTGAAAGCGGTGACATTTACACCGTGTTGTGTTCGATATCAGACATTACTGAACAGGACAAACTTCCAATTACACCTTGTTCATGCAACCGTTCACAGCTCACTGCCTACGTTCAGACTGATCTAAACACCTCACGCTGATAAACAAGGCAGAGAGTTTAACTGGCCTCCCCACGGGGCTGCGCAGTTAATCGAATTTGAGTTCCAATTTAGATTTTAGCCCAAACAAAAATCTGAAATGAACAAAAAAAAAGTATGATATTCATGAAAATTGTCTCGCCACATTCTGCTTGTTGTGTTTAAAGCATGCAGCCAAAGATGAATCGTAGGTCCCTTCATGTTGGAAGACAAGGCGGGGTTCTCAAACGCAAGAAGATGGAGTGTTTTCTAAAGGTCAGGGGTCGCTCTTTGCCTCAAGTGGAAGAGTTCATGAACCTATGGGTAGACTGGTAGAAACGTTACTTATCTGTCAACCGTCCATACATTCACCTGTCCACCAGTCTGTATAAGTCTATAAACGAATTTGTACTAATTTTATTGACTGAGCCACCCACCTACCTACCAATCCATCCATCCCATATTTTTTTAATCAATCCATTCATTTGACCATCTATCACTGTCGTCCATCCATCCAACTCTTTTTTCCATCCATCTAGTCATTCGTCCATCCCTTTTTTCCATCCCGAGAGTTTTCAAGAATGAACACATACTGACATTTGGACCAGCCTCATGTCTAATTAAGGACCATGACTGTCACAAAAAGATGGACATGGATATAAAAAGCTCAGATAGATAAAAAAAATAATGAAAAAAAAATATATATATATATTGCTTGTATAGTCGCATTTTGTCAACATAACAGGAAAAAAAATTTTATAAATATGAAGAAAAATATCTTTAAAACACCATAAAACAGGAGGAACTTTTCGACAGCATTGATATTAATCCTTATTTTAAGAAGCAAGCAAGTGCAGAAGATTATTACAGATGACTTGTCTACCTCCTACAATAAACATGAAGAATTTCCACCATGCCTCACCAATGACCTTTGCAGAAGCCTCACACAGGGCTGCCTGGTGGAGGCAGGTGGTGTGTGTGATTGCCTAAATTACTGAGCTGTGAGTGAAACTGCAAGCGCTGAGAAACTGGCAGTACAGTTTATATAAGCGTTTTTGTGCAGCTGCGCTCTCACCGTGATGAGTAAAGAGATCGCTGTGGACGATGTCAATCAGACAGTCGAGCTTCTGTTTCACCAGACGACCCTGGGGGACCTTCAGGATGAACTCTGTGAACAGCTTGCTGTGTAGACAAAGAGACAAACAGAGAAAAGGTCAAACTTATCAGGCGTCTCGGCTGGCCGACTGCCTCCAGACACGATATTCAGATCAGAAGCATCTGGCCTAAATGGGGATCAGAACAAAAAATACGGAATGATTTAAAGTGTTAAAAAAGCATAATAATAATAATAATAATAATAATAATAATAATAATAATATTTAATATCAGATTTTAGAATTTGTCTGTTCATTTGCATAATTCAAGGAAATAACTAATGAAATAAAATTATTCAAATAAAATAAATAAAACGTGAACCTTGAAAATCTCTCCTAAACTCTTGAATGGTCTTTGCTTCACAATCCTCTGGAAGCTTGCTCACATTTTTATCCCGCAGATTTTCCTTCCACTCATTTTTCTATTAAATTCGCTTGTATCCAACCCTCTCCACAGGCAGCCATTATGTTATATCCCAGATACATTTATTACACAAGAAACATATCCCACTGTCTGTAATATACTCAGATTTGTTAAGATTAAGTATCAGGAAGAAACTGTTTGACATTCGCAATGTTAAAACATAAATCTTCCCTCCTGTTTACACATAACTCTTGTACATTACTGTTTTCTGAGGCAGGCAACATGCTTATGACTGGCCTGGACAAAAGCTAGGAGAGAAAATGTTCTGGCATTGCATGAAACACTCTCCACCCCCAAGGCTCCGGTCCGATTGCCTCCAGCTAAGACTCTTGGCAAGCTTTTAGCTAACGGGAACAGCTAAAGCCACCTTTGCTCAGCCACCAAAGAGTCAAGCCTGTAATTTAGAGCCAGGTTAATGGCTCATATGTATCAAATTTATTACAATAACAGCTGAAATCAAAGGGTTTTTGTTCCCCCCTCTGGTAGCTTGTGCACTTGCATAAATATCCACTGAATAAAAAGCACAGTTTGGTTAGGAATGGAAACAGCTGATGCAGTGTGTTAACTTTTGTGCAGGAAATACTTTCACATACATCTTATCAATAGATACTATTTACATAGTGTGGTTATAAAATGAACCCTCAAATTTTGGCAGCTGTCGGATATGGAAACAGGAAAACAACAGCAAAGAGCCATCATGCAGGAGGACTCACCATTCCGATAAAAAGCAACTACAATAACTCATCTGAACAGGATTGGGATTTCTGATGGTAAATTATTTTGCATGATCTCTGGAGTCACATAAAGCGTAGTTAGACGAGCTGCGTCAGCCCCCCCCCCAAACGATTTTATGATTAATTTAACGATTAATGATAAAACAGCATTAAAAGCCTCTCTTCTCAGAAACTGCGGTTAGGTTTGATTTTATGCAAATGTTGTTCATTCCTAATCTAATTTAGGAAATTTACAATTTAAAACATTTAAAACTGGGAAACAGAAACTCGTCTAAACAGTCCTAAAAAGAAAGGTTTGGGCTTTTTTTTTTTTTTTTGTACTAATTTGAAAAAATTCAATTTATACAACTCTACTGCATTCAATCAGTAGGGAGAGAAGAAGGGGGAGGGCGGAATGCTTTGGCATAAATGCACCTAATGTATTTTTTATTTATATTTTACACTTTTACATTTTCTTCTAATGAGTAATTCATGACTTTCTGTTTCTCTGTGGTATAAATATGACATGATCAGAGATCCGCTTCTTTTAGCCACTGGTCACCAGACTAGAAAAGGACCTGGGGGTTGAGCTGACCAAAAAAAAAAAAAAAAACTTATAGCACCAGATTGTAACACAAAGATCTCACAATGAAGATTATACTTTTCACTTTTCCCAAAGTAACCNTGNCAATTCTTTTGAATCCAGAATTAAAAATTTTAACCAGTGTGAAAAATATTACCAATTCAGAAATGATCAAATCAAACTTAATAGCAGTCACATTTTTAATAAACCAAGACAGGTGTTTTATTATTTTTATTTTATGCTCCGTCATAAAATAAAAATAATAAAACCAAGCAGCAGCGTATTTTGTCTGTGCCGGTCCCGTCTCTCTTCCAAGAGACCTGGAAGCAATTTTAGGCAAAGTATTAGGGACTCTTTGAAATACATCGAAATCTTGGATGACAATCTTGTGGGCTCAACAGGAAAACTGAAATCGATCACTGTTGGATCTTTTAGCCAGACCCAAATCAACAGAAAGAAAAAAAAAAAAATATATATATATATATATATATATATATATATATATATATATATATA